TCTCTCTCTCTCTCTCTCTCTCTCTCTCTCTCTCTCTCTCTCTCTCTCTCTCTCTCTCTCTCTCTCTCTCTCTCAGAGTCTCGCCGTTCCACCCACGCCAGGGTCAGTAGTTGCTTCTTTTTTCCCCCTGAGTGGACGAGGCAGAAGGTTGATGCTGGGTTGTTCACGGACATCCCAGTTCTCTTTCAGTTGGCACATTATGTCCTCCACTAGGGCAAAGCCTCACATTTTGTGCTAAACTTCTGAATCAGCCCTTTGTTTTTCTTATTTTCGTGTGAAAGTTCGTTTTTTTCCTTATTTTCCTTCCAAAACAAAGAAACTTACAAATGTTTTTTCATAAACCTGGTACTATGGGGATAGTAAGAGGATATGGTGTGCTTTGGGCCAATAGACTGAAGGAGGTCCCGCTGGTGCCCCCCAGTGGCTCCTTCCGATCTCCGGATTGGATCAAGAAGGGAGAGGATAGGAATGGTAGGGGAAGCTGGACCAGGATCCAGCACTGTGGTTATGCTTAAAAGTTAAAATGCCTCGTGCCAATACCTGTCTTCTTATGTTTTCTCATGTCTTCTCATGCTCTCAGTCTTGGCAGACCTCCAAACTTCCAACATTGTATTACAAAAGGGACACTGACCCCGTTTCTCAGCACGTGATGCTTCCCACAAATAGATTGGAGCCCTTTGTTCAAAAAAAAAAGAAAAAAAGGTGAACATAAGAGGACAAAGGAGGCGTGGATCGGGTTCGTCCCACAGCACGGGGAGCATCAACACCAACAGATCAACAGGACTTGATCCAAAGGGCAGGGGTAAGGGAGTGGGAGGTTTGCTCGCCAACCTGAACTGGGCATCAATTACAGAGATTCATAGGTGATTGCGGAGACCGAATGGGGTTGTTTGCTGGGTGAATGGGGAGAAGCAGAATACTACTTAGCATCTGCTTCCAGCTCTGTTCATAGCAACCAGGGGATTTGTGCATACTATCACCTATCTTAGGCTGTCATGTAGGCAATCGACTGAGGCTGCACTGTAGCCTTACCTGCCAAATGTCTTCCGTGATAGGTGAGCCCTGCAGCTAGCTGTCATTACAACCACATACCTGATCAAACAAGGGTGGAGCCAGGGGAATGAGAGGCTTGCCTGCTGGCATGAACTGTGCGGTAATCATAGTGATAGCTGAGAGAAGATGGGGTTGTTAGGTGGGTGAATGAGAGAAGCAGAACACCACTTACAATCTGTTTCCAGATTCCCATACTAGCAGCCATGGGGCTCGTGCATACTATCACACATCTGAGGCTGTCATGTAGGCAATAGAATTAAGCTGCTGGGTAGCTCTACCTGCCAAGTTCTCTCTTTGTAGGAGGGCCCTGCAGCTACCTGTCATTACAATCACATGTCTGCTCAAACAAACAATTAGTACAATGTTGTGGGATGCTGGACCCGGTTCCCAGCAGGTGATGCTCCCCAGTGTCCCCAC